CCCCCCGCCCACCTCTATCTGGAGGCTACTGCAGCCATTTGGGCCATAAAAGTTTGCATGTGTGAAAAAAAGGCACCTGAATATTCACAGTTGGCTGAAATGGTGAAGAATTTCATTGTGAATGCAGGGGGAACATAAACAAAAGGACTGAAGAAATGAATGGATTCACTGCTAGTCAGTGGGTACAGTGGTCTGCATACTTCCAGTTTAGGAATTCCTGAAGTTCCTGCAGTGCAAACTGCATCTGTAGGTCAGAACAAAGATCTGGTCAGGTCATCCCTCCTACAACAGGGATGCAATGGCAGAGCAGCTCTGCCAGCAAGCAGCAGTGGATGGGGCTTTCTGAGTCCAAGCTTTCATCCATTTCCAATAATGACTCTATTTATTAATACTTCTCATCTGTCCCTTTATAAATAATTAAAAAAAAAAAAAAAAAAAAAGCTGTTGAGAAATGATGTATAGTGGTATGGTTTTCAGCAGGTTGCACTGTATGTAGCTCTCTTCCTTCTGGCTCCCCCGAGAGCTAGCAGCACTTTGGTGCCCCAGGACATGGCTGTGCTGAAGTGTCAGCATGGGCACTCTGTCCCCCTGGACGCTTTGCATAGAAGTAAATGCTGTTGCTGAAATACTCAGCTCAGTGCTAAATGAAAATCAGGCAGATTTTCAAGTCCAGGCTGGATGCGGCTCTGGGCAGCCTGGTCTGGTGGTTGGCAACCCTGCACGTAGCAGGGAGGTTGAAACTAGATGATCATTGTGGTCCTTTTCAACCCAGGCCATTCTGTGATTCTATTATTTTAATAACAGCATTTCTGATAAGCAGAGAAAAATAAATCTAAGTTCTAGATGAAGTCTTTAATTGAAGCACTACCCTATTTCTGGGTTTAAATCCCTTCTCTTTCTCAGCCCCATCCTTGGATATGATTCTTCACTTCAATGCAGTGTTGCTTTGTGCTACTAAGGGAATATGTTCCACTCCAGTGGTGGCAAAGTGAAAATCATAAAAATATGCAGAGATGCTTCAGAATTTAAAGGACAATGAATTTGCAAGCTCTTACTAGTATGACCTCCTTTTATGGCATATATTTGTAGAAAAACATGATGTTTTCACATTCTAGATTTGACACATGGGTTCTTTCCAACTGGAATATAAAGATGGCATCAGTCATCTGTATTTCAAGTCTGAACAGAGGAAAATGCAGACAGGAACTGGCATTGGGTAAAGAGAGGGAAGGTGCCTGTGTTTCCTACTGGCCCTCAACCTGTGACCCTGAGCAGGTCCCTACTCTGAGGCACAGTTAATGTGTGTACTTTATCACAAAGGATGCTGTGCAAGTTATTTAATGAATGCTTGCAAAATGATGTGCTGCATTTGAATGAAAAAGGCTGTGTAATTGCAAAGCATTGCTGTATTGTGTAATTGTGTATGTTGCTGGAAGGAAGTGTATGTACCGAGCCACTTGCTTGCTTCTTGCTGAATAGCCTATGATGAAATGATCTTTTTAGGACTGGAAGGAAAATCCTGTTATGGCAAAGCATAATGTGGGTACTCTGCTTTTCTGGGCAGAGTTATGCTTCCTTGGGTAAAACTCAGTGGTAGAAATTCTCTGCTGTACACAAAGCAGATTTTCATAATGGTGTCTTCTGGCTTGAAATAATTACTTAAGCAGAGAAAAAAAAACTGTGAAACTCAGTAACTGCCATCTCACTAGCCTGGAGAAAATACCAATTCTAAGGCTGTTCCTTTGGGATCAACACTCTGCCTCTGGAGCATCTCTGCCCCACAGAAGGAGCGCAGTCCCTGCATGTATGACGTTCGTGCTCTGTGCTGCACACCCATGCAGCTGCTGGTAAGGCATGCAGATGTCGTTTCTGTATCACACAGTGATTCCAAAGGAATGCATACAACAGCAAGGGACTTGGTTGCTTCATCTTGGTTGCTGCATCCCCCGACATCTGTCTCTCCCTGTGCCATCACTGTCTCAGGGACGATATCTTCTCTGGTGGCTGGTTCCTGAAGTACTCACCTGCAGCTCCAGCTGGGGGCTTGTCCTCCTACATTGTAAATAAAATCATATTTTGGGGTGTTTGCACTGGAACCCATGAACTACAGCAGTGCATAAAAGCAGTGGTTCAGTTGTCCCTATTGCTGCTGGGTTTTCTCCAAAGTGTATGCCTTCATGCAAAGCACTTATATTTCAAAACTTCACTACATGCACAAATACGCAGCAACTAAAAATATCTGGGTTTTAGAATGTAACTAAAAGCACTGGGAAGGTCCAGGAGTGGTGCACGCATATGGCTGAGAACTCCTACAGCACTGTGCAGCAGCCCTGGGACCAGAATGCACCGAGCATCCCCTTCATGGGCTCCACGCCTCGCAGCATTATAGTGCATGGCAGAGCCTGAAGGGGAGAGTGCCAGGAAGCTGGCTGGTGGGAAGGCAGGCGCTTCAGCCCGCTTGCCTCACTGAAACAGGCACTGAAGCTTTGTTTCTTCCATGAGGATATAAATCTGGAAAAGCATTACAGATTTGTTCTTTCAGCATGTGGAGCTCATTTTTTAGGCCAAATGAACAAAGTCTGTGTCTAGAGAGCTCAAGAAGGAGGAACAAAAGTAAACTATAAATATTCAGCTCTTGATTTTGGGTTTTAATAAATTATGAGCTCTGGGAGAAGCGTTTTTTCTTTCAAATATCAAACGACTTGATTCATTTTATAATTTGGTTGTATAGTGCTTGTCACCTTCCATCTGGATACAATATAACATCTCTGGCAGCACTTCAAGATGAGAAATCCCAAAGGAACAGGGTCCAAGGGTCTAATGAGAAGCAACCACTCCCTCGTGGGTGCTGAAGGATGCGTCCCATCCTCTGCACCCGTATCTGTATCTGTACAGACACAGACGTGGCTATAAATAAAACCTCTGCACAGGAGGGTCTGATGTGAGACACGATGTTCAGAGATCATTTGACCTATTTAAAAGCCACTTCTGAGCCTGGTGGTGGTGGGGACGCGCTCTGCAGCTCTGTGATGTGGGGTCTGCATGCAGTCCTGAGCCACTGGGGCTCCTGCAGGGACAGAACACAGCATGATGCAGGAGGATGGCATGATCCAGGAGTGCAACACGATCCAGTAGCGTAGCATGATGTTGGAGCACAGGGAGATCCAGGAGCACAGCGTGTGCCTGGGTGCTAGATGCCAAGCAGCATCGTGGGAGGTGGGGCCTGGGGGCACCCAGTACTGCCAGCATTGGCTGGAAACCTTGAGAAGTGCATAGGTGCTCTAGGGGATGTTCTGGTGGAACCCAAGCTGACTCAGGCCAGTGTACATTTTTAGTGTTGCAATGTACTTATGTTTATCAAACAACACATCTGGCTTTATGGGGTATCTTACTAGCACCACCTGAGTGCGTCCAATTCAACAGGCAGTAGAACAGCTGGGATTCATTGTTGGCTCATACTGTTAGGATAAACAAGAAACGATTATTCCGCCAACTTAAAAATTGGCCAGTGGCTTTATAAATCTACTGAGGAGATATTCTGGCTGCATAAAGACATGACAGGGCTGAGCTTGCTCTGGATCCTGGAGCATTCACCCTGTGCAATAGGAACTCAGCCTAGATGTGAAATACACAGTGGGTTGGGGCAAAAACCCTGGATTCCAGCACAGCACTGTTACTTGAAGCAAGAAGAGCTGAGCCCAATAATTTGCACCAGAGGCAAAACACCCTTAAGCAGAATGTCTGCTGAAGGTACCTGAACTGAAATCAATGTGTAATACTGGGGTGGTAAAACGTGCCTTCGCCCCGTGAGTTGGGAGCTGCAGGAAAAGAGCAGCTTTGGCTGAGGAAACAGCTCAGAATGTAAGTGGGTGCTGGCTCCCAGAAAGAAGAAGTAAGATGTGCATTGCACAAAGCCACCTAACACAACAGGCCGTCATTGCTGGCCTCAGGTTTCCTGGAGGAAGCCTTGGTTTTTGCAAAAATAATTGGAATCAAATTTGTAGATTTTTTATATTTTCTTGAGGGACTGTATCTTAAATCCTTCTTTAAGCTGCAGATTTAAGGACGAGATAAGATCACTGTCTTCTGTAGGAAGAGCTCCAAGCACGTTTCCAGGAGCAGTGCATTAGCTGGGCAGATGTTCTCCAGCCTCCCTTGGCTGCAGTAAGAAGTGCTGCAGCACTCAGGCAGCGCTGTGCAGCCCTGACCTGCTGGAGTGGTGCGGGTATGGCACGGGGCAATGGCTTCCATTTCCTTGGACCAGCAGGTCCTTTGAAAAGAAAATCCACCCAGTAAATCTAAGCAGACACTGCTCCTCCAGAGACATTTCACTGGGACAATGAAGTACTGTCACTGTGACAGAGCAATAGCTGCTGCATTCTCCTCCAAAGCCACATGTAAAGTTTACAGTCACAGAATCACAGAATGGCCAGGGTTGGAAGGGACCTCAAGGATCATGAATCTGCAATCCCCCCTGCCACATGCAGGGCCACCAACCTCCACATTTAATACTAGATCAGGCTGCCCAGGGCCCCGTCCAATCTGGCCTTGAACACCTCCAGGGATGGGGCATCCAGCCTCTCTGGGCAGCTGTTCCAGTGCCTCACCACTCTCTCTGTAGAGAATTTCCCCCTGACGTCCAACCTAAATCTTCCCTCCCTAAATCATACAACCTACATCAAACTTATTACTCAGAGCCAATTTTTTCAATTCACTATTTTCCAGAATTCTCACAACCCCAGGCTGGGAATATTTACTAGCATGGGGGTTTAGAACCAAGCCTTGGAATGGAACCTCCCATTTTTTGCTCCAGCTGCACACGGCAGTGCCTGTATATGCCATACAGGTCTGTGTGCCTGCTGCTCTCACAGGCAGCCCTGCAGCACCCAGCAGGGCACTGCAAGGCACAGCCTGGCTCAAGGTCTGAGCCTATGCCAGAGCTGAGCTCTA